TTCCAGAGCTCCCCGGGACCAGCCATCTCGGCTCAGAGCTCACCTGGCCCAGGGCTCGCTCCCCAGGATCCGCCCACACCCATCTGTGCCCCGCAGAAAGGAGCTGTGAGGACCTCACCCAGCAGGACAGGTGGGCACAGCAATTCCTGCTTCATGGATCTCCATCACGAGGAGGCTCCAATCGTTCATAACCAACCTCGACTAAATCCCAGCCAGGTACAAGATGCTGTGTCCAGAGCCATGTGGGTGGGTATAGAGTTGAATCATTCATGCTCTGACACATATTTCCTGAGTAATTACGGATCAGGCACTGTGCCAGGCGCTGGGCATGGCTCCTGCCTGCTGGGAGCCCACAAAACCTGCACACAAACAGCCAAACCACTGCCACACACCCGTGTGGTTGCTGGACCCACAGCAGCATCTGCCGGGAGCTCGTTGAACATGCGAGTTCTCAGGGCTCTGGTCCAACTGAATCAGAATCTCTGGCGGCGGAGCCCAGGGATCTGCTTTTAAAATCTTGTCAGATGATTCTTCATGTGTACAGAAATTTGAGAACCACTGGTCTAGACCACAAGGCCTTCCCCAAGCTCCCCACTTCAAACTGCAAACAAGCGCCTGGCCTTGGCGCCCCTAACCCTCTTCCCGGCTTCATTTCTCCATAGTTGTATCGCCATTGGGAACAATACCATATATTTCTGCCATATACTGAGGACTCCCATACTAGTATACAAGCTCCAGAGGGCAGCATTTTGAGTTCCTTTCGTTCACTGCTGTAGCATCAGTTGCCTAGCACCAAGAGAGGCTCAATAACTGTTGATTGATTGATGTATGGTGGAACATGCCATATCCCATGCAGTACCTGTTTGGGTGTAGCCTGGAGGAAGAAGGTGGCTGACCTTGGAGCACTGCATGGAGAAACTGATACCCAGGTTGGCCTTGAAGGATATTTGGACCAGTGATGAAGGATGCTTGAAACACAGAGATGCTAAGCTTCTTACCAGGAGAGGTTCCAGGTGGTTGATGTTGTCATTATGTTCATAGCAGGTATGTTCCAGGAACTATCCTAGCCTACCTCACCTCAGTTAACACTCCCAAACCTCCGAGGCAGGCAGTGCTGGCTTCAAGAGGACAGAGGCTCAGAGACATTAAATTATTTGTCCCACCCACAAAAAGACTTGTACAGGAATGTTGACTGCAGCTTATTTATAATAGCTCCAGTCTGGAAACAAACCCGACGTCTATCAGCAAGTGAACAGATAAACCAATTGTGCTGTATCATACAATGTAATATAACTTAGCAATAAAATGGAACCAACCAAGGATACATACAACACAATGAATCTAAAAGACACTGCGTTCAGCAAAAAGAAGCAGACAAAAATACGTATTCTGCATATGAAGTTCTAAAACTTAAATACACTTAGTACACTGAAATTGAACTTGCACAAAGCTTGATACTATAAATCAGACAAGCCGTTTCCTCTAGAGGGGGAGCAATGGGTATTGGCTGGAAAGGAACACCAGGGAACTTTCTAGGGTGATAGAAATAGCTCTCTATCTGGAACGGGATGGTGGTTACCATTAAAACCACTCTGCACATAAAATGTGCATTTTATTGTATGTAAATCACATCCCAATAAAAAAGGAGCTAAGGAAACATTTGCCCTGGGTACCCAAAGCCACAAATGGAGATCCGAACCCGGGTTTGCCCAGACCAACAGCCAGTTTACACGAGGCTGCCAGAGTGGAACAGGAAGTCCCGGGGGCAGTGCCCTAGCGTGGTAAAGTGCCCAGCCAAAATCTGAGTGAAGGCTATTCGCCGTTACCCTAGGAAAGGTGTCACAGCCCCCCACCCCCAAACCACAGCAGAGACTTGTGAGGAGCCCAGATGAGGGTCAAGAAACTTGGGTTCAGGCCTCAGCTCTGTTCCTTGCTTCCTGTGTAACCTCTGAGGGCACGACTCCATGACTCGGTTTCCCCTTCTGTGGAGCAGGGAAGAAGGAGGGATCCATGGTTCCCAGCATGGTGCCGCAGATCCTGGGGCCACAGGGCCACAGGCACCTGCGCTCATCACGCAGTGCTGTCACATGAAACAAGTCACGTGCCTGCCTCACCTCTGGTAAGCTGTTTCTCAGATGCATGCTCATGTTGGTGTGATTGATAAAATACACATCTATTTCAAAGCAGAAATGGAACCATGGCAGCTTCTTGCCATTGTGTGTTTTCTCAAACAAAAGACACCAAAAGGACAGCCACTGCTCATGACTTTGCTTTAAAGAGGCTGGAATCTCTGTGGAGAGGATCACTAAGGGGACAGTCACCAAGGGAACGGTCGCCAAGGGCCCTTCCAGGTCAACTGCACAGTGGTTGTCCCTCATCACTTGGGCTAATGCTTACCCTTGTGTTTCTCAGGCCTGGGTCCCTATGGGGATGAGTCTGTTGACTGGACTCCGGAGATCCAGCCCCCAGTGTGCGGGCTTGTCCGGGCTCTACAGCCCAGCCTCCAGGCCTTAAGTGTGGTCACTGCTGCACCTTGGCTCCCCCCCCCCCATTTCTGATAGTGACCAGCTTCAGGATGCAGCCTGGGCATCTCCCTCCCCAGGCCCTCACCATCAGCTTCTAGTCACAACCACCACTGTCCACTTAGGGTCCGCTTCTAGCAGGCCTCTCACCCACCGCTAGCTGAGCTCACTGGCTCTCTGCCTCACCATGCCACAACCTGAAGGACTGAAAAGCTTGTTTCACGCCCAAGTGCAAGGCCAGACCTTTCTTTCAACCATCCTCACACAACCACCTCCTCCACCTGGACATACCCCCAGCTCTAGGGCAGTCAGAGGTCCTGGATCACCGACGGAAACCAGAGCCACCAGTTTCTCATTCCCTGTGCCTGTCCCTCCTGGCCCCGGGATTCTCACTGACTCCTGGTGCTGAGTCAGAGCTTTACAGAGCATCAGAATAAGGCAGGGCCCTTGGCCGAGTGCCACCGCCTGAAGGCCCCCATCTGGGACTGCCCCACTCTAGAGGGGTCTACGAATGCCGCCCCAAAAAGAGCACTCCCCGGACTAAGGGGGCCCATCCACCCAGACTTTGAGGTGCAAATGCCCAATGCCCAGCCATGTCCCCAAACCAGAGCCTGGAGCCTTGCCAACTTCATTTAAAAAACAAAACAAACAAACAAACAAAAGAAACACAAGGGCAAAAGACAGACCAGCTGCCCCCACACCTAACAGTCTTTTCCTCCCTGAAGACTCCACTTGCTACTTTTAATCAATTTTCCCTCCACCAGACTAGAAACAGCCAGAGAACCAGCCTTGTCTCGAGGACATGCACCACCCCCCTCTCTGGCTTCCAACTTTGTGGGTCACGGGACAAAAGATAATCATCCCCATCCTCAGAGAGACCTCACTTGCAGCCCACCCCCGCCCCCACGGTGCCCCAGGCCCCGTAGCCCCAAAGCCCACGCCTCGCCCGCCGGGGAAAACTGTAGAGGGCTTTGCAAAGGCTAGCCGGGAGCCGCTCCCCAGGGCCTGAGAACGAACTCAGAGGCCCAGCCCCGGAAGCCCAGCGTTTTGTGCGGGGACGCCCCTTTCCGCACCCCCACAGCAAGGGGCAAGACGAAAAGCCAACGGGGCGGGGTGAGGTCGAGACCCTGGGGCAGGCGGGGGCGGGGTGGGGGGGCAGCCGATCCCACCACCGGACGCGCACTCACCAGGCAACGCCACCGAGCCCGCGAGTCTGCGCCAGGGCCGCGGGGAAACCCACGCGCTCCGTTCAATCCGGGCTCCGAGTGACGAAAAGCCGCTCTCGGCTCCAGGCGGCCCGGGACGGACGCACCGACCGGCGGACACGCGGACAGTCTCTCTCCTAACAAAGTTTGAAAGTTCCCTCTAGGGCGAAGGAAGAGAGGCGCAGGGCAGGTGCACCTAACGGTCCCGGCTCCGCTCGGCGTGGGGAGCTGGAGTCGGACGCCGGCTGTCCTGGGTTCCAGGCACCCGAGCTTCTGCCGCGACCCGCGCGGCGCAGCGGGAACCTGGCTGCGGGTGAGAATGGCGCTCTGGGAAAGGGAAGGCGGTGTCCCTCACTGCAGCCCGGCCTGGAGGAGCAAGCCTGGATTGGCCATTGCGAACTCGAAATCCGAGGCCCAGCCGGGCAGTGACGGCCAATTAGTAAACGGCCCAATTAGTGCGCGGCGACGCCTGAGAAGTTAAATCCCGACGCACCAGAGTGGATGACCCAGATGGGGGAGGGGGCGGCGAGGGGGCTGTGGCTGCCCCTGGGTGACCGCGTGTGACTGCGTGGCCGTCAGAGGGATTAGTGTGTCTGAGGTTCACCGTCCACGGGTGGCTGTGTGTGGCAGAGTGCGCCTGTGTGAGTCATTTTGAGTGCGAGCGTGTGACTGTCAGAGCGACTTCTTTGTGTGGCTGCCCCCAGTTGTGACTGGGTGTGACAGCGGATGGGGGCTTGTAACAGGGTGTGTGGCACAGTGGTGTGTGAATGGGTGACTTGTCTGCGGCGGTGTGACAGGGTGCGTGGGCGAGTGCCTGCGTGTCATTGTGTATAAACGACTGTCACGATGACTTGTGTGGGACGATAAGACAGTGTGAGCAGGCGCGTGGCTGTGGGTGACTGTGGGTCAGCTTGTGAATGGATGTGAGGCTGTCAGGGGGACGTGGGTGGGTGTGAGTGTCACTGTGACATCGTGCGAGTGACTGTTGGGGTGACTTCTGCCTGGGATGCGAACAACTCAGGGCAGGAGTGTAGCAGCAAGGACATCTGTGTGAGTGGCGTGTGCCCGTCGGCGGGGCCGAGGTGTGCGTGTCCCCGAGCTTGGGCACCGCCGGTATCTGCCCCCCCCCCGTGTGTCCCCCAGAGTGCCGGCGTCCTGTGCCACCAGGTGACTCCTGCCTGTGCTCCAGCCCCAGACGCTCTGGCCTCGGCGCGGGGTCCGAAGGCGCGGGCCGGCCCCGCCCGCCTAGGCCCCCACCCCGGCCCCCGCCTACCTTGCCGCAGTGGTAATAGTCCAGGTGCGCCAGGCCAGCCGGCTCGGCCCCGGGCCGCGCGCCCACCGAGGGCGCCGAGGGGTACAGGCGGACGTCCATGGCGGGCGCGGCGGCGGCGGCGGCGGCGGCGGCTCCCGCGGGCAGTGCCTGGGCGGGCGGCGGGTGGGAGTCAGAGTGAGAGCCGGGTGTGCGAGCGCGGGGGGCGGGCTGGGGGCGGCGCCCGGCGGAGCGCCCCGCCCCCGCCCCCGCCCCGCCCTCGCGCGCTATTGTTCCGGCCGCGGGCACAGCCTTGGGCCCGGGGCCCGGGCCCGGGGGAGGAGGTCCCTCCTTCGGGCCCGCTCGTCTCTGGGTCCTGGGCCAGGCTGTCTGCCCCTGGGAGCCCGGGAGGGTGGTGCGTCTGCCCGGGAGACCCTTTTCTGTCCCGCCCTTCACCACCAAGGGTGAGAGGAGGGAAGAAGCCTGTACGACACCCCTCCCCTGAAGTGGGACACTCCTCGCCCTAAACATTTAGGGCGACAATAAGCCCCACGCAGCGTCGGAGGAGGGAGAGAAAGTGGTGACAGGAACTCTTTCGGAGATGGGTGCTGTCCTACGGGCTGTGGGGAGAGGGGGGCCCTCCCTGCTTGTCCCACCGATCCAAGTCCCTGGGAGATGGCTGCTTTTAAACTCTCCCTCCACGTAAGAGGAAACTGAGGCAAGAACTTGTGTCGTCAATTATGGAGCTCCAGATGCGTGAGCCCCGCTGCTCCCAGAGTTTCCAAGACTGAAACCACTGGGAGAAAGCAGGACTCTGCCCCCTTTAACGACAGGGAGAGGGAGGGCCGTAGGAACGGCCTATCACCTGGCGCTCCGAGGAGGGGTCCAGACTCTGCCCACCCCGTGGTATCCTGGACAGAAATGGGGTGGCTCCCATGGTGGGGCAGAGAGGCGACTGAACAGACTCCCTCCCCCATGCACACAAGAAAGCCTCCTCACTCCTCACATCACCTGCTGGCAGCTGGTCTGCGGCTCCTCCCCTTTTCACCCAAGAATTGTCCCCCCTAGCAGTGTCTCTACTCCTTCACCTCCTGCTGACGGCTCCAGCACTGTCCTCTGGCTCCCGGCTCTCCCACACCCAGGATGCCTGGCTGGGAAGGGCCAAGTGGCCAGGAGGCCGAAGTGGGTCAGGATGGAACATGCTATGTTGTTTGGAGAGAAGGGAATGAGCCTTTTGCTCACTTAGGAGCCTGCTTGGAACTTAGCTCCCAGCTGCTCGCTACTTGGGCTGTGCTGGTCCTGTACTAAAAACCACCATTCGTGATGTGAACATAAGAAGGGGCTACATAGGAGACCCAACAGGCTCAGGAAGCTACATGACAGGCCTGGCAAGCTCAGTGACGGAAGTAACGGCACAGGACAGTGTGATCATCAATTCCTGACGGATCAGGTTATGGGGGTAGTCACATTTCGGGGCCCATGGCTTCCTTAGCAAGGTCAGTCTTCACTTTCAGCAAGCCCTGTCCCCTGTTATCATCCACCTAGGATAGCATGCCCTTGATATGCCGGAGTCATTTCCGTTTCCAGATCTCTCAGGGGCACAACCACCAGCACCAGAGCACAAAACTAGGTGAGACCCCTCGGGGTAATCTTCTTGCCCGCACAACAACTCTATTTACTGTAACTGTTGAATGTAAACTGTCATGTGCCCAGCAAGGTAAAGGAAGCATGTATCTCTCCATTTTACTTTGTAACCAGTCCTAGAGATTTCCCCACTTTGCTTTCTTCCACTTCCTTAAGCTATTATACTACCAAGAGACTTTACGTAATTTTCCTTACATTCTCTCCTTTGATTCTAAGTACATTAAAAAAAAAAAAAAACCCTGCAAAACTGCCATTCTCCAAAGCATTTTTTAATATGTTGAGATTTTGCTTCTGGGTCAGACCTCAGATTTGGCTCAAATAAACTCTTACAAGGTTTTTCTGTAGGTCTGGACTTGATTTTGTCAACAGCGACCATAAGGATCCATTAATCCAAGATATGTGTGAGAAACGCTTTCAGTAAAGGTTTGAGAACAACAGAGGGAAATTACAGCTCAGAAAGGAAAGAACTTCTAAATAAATGTCAGCAGTCATTGTTTCTAGAAATACAGTGCCATATCTCATCAGAAGGAATTTCCCACTGGCCCCTTTCCTTTTTTTCCAACTGACCCAGCACTATTTATTGAAAAGATCACGCCCCCTGCAATTTCTCTGCAGTGTTAACTTTGTCATAAATCAAGCAGTCCGTGTGTGCCTGGGACTGTTCCCGAATGCTCCTGTCTGTTCCACTGGCCTGTTTTTCTCTCCTTCTGCCATTTTCACGCTGCCGGGATTACTGCAGCTTTTGAATGTTCTAATGTTCTGTAGAAAAGTCTACCTGCTTTTTTCTTCAAAAGTACTTTGGCTATTTTTGATCTTGGCACTTCCATAGAAGTTTTAAAATCAGCTTGTCTGTTTACACACACACACACACACGCACACACACATGCACACACATACAATCCTGCTGGAATTTTATTGCTATCACATTGAATTTTTAGGTCAATTTGGGTAAAATTGACATTTTCAATATTGTCTTTCTATCCATAAACATGGTATGTCCCTTCATTTGTTTAGGGGGCTTATTTTTAAGTTCTCTCAGCACTGTTTTGTAGTTTTCTGTGTAGAGACCTTGTGTATCTTTTATTAGATTTAGTCCTGGGTTTTCTGATGTTGGTACCATTACAAATGGTTTTTTATACCATGTTTTATCTGTTGCCAGTACTGCATGATGGCTTTAAAACAAGCCGACAAATTCTCTGATACTCCTTCCCAGGGGTAGAGTCTAATACCCTCCCCCTTAAAACAGGTCGATCTTAGTGAATATGTGTGGGTGGTTTTTTTTTTAACAGATAGAATGTGGCAGACGTGATGGTGCATGGCTTCTGACTCAAGGTCTAGAAAGTTGATACATCTTCTGCCTGACTCCCTTTCTTGGGATATTTGTCTTTGAAGCCCTAAGTCACTATGCAGAGACCCTGAGACAAAATAAAGAGGAAAATGATTGGGGGCCAGCCCCCTGCTGCTCCAGCTCCGCCCCTTTCCTGAACACAAGTGCATGAAATACCCAGAAACATCCAGCTGAGCCCTTCCTGAAGCCCAAAGCACAGAAACCATGAGCGATGATAAATAATTATTGTTAGTTTAATCCCGGACGTTTGGAGTGGTTTGTTACTCAGCAATATAGGTCTGGAACGCATGTCAAAGTATATTTTTGCATATGCCCATGTATCTAGCAACACTGCCAAACTCAGTTATTCTAACAATCTGCAGATTCTTTGGCTTTTGAAAAATATAGACCATAGACAACTGTACCTGAACAACAATTAAATAAATAAATAAATAAATACCATATTCTATCTCATCTGTAAAGATGAGAGTTTTAATTTTTCCTTTTCTGTCCTTATACATTTTATTTGTTTTTCTTGGCTTGTGGCACTGGCTAGTATTGCCAGTATGATTTTGGAAAGAAGGAATGATAGCAGGCATCCTTGTCTCATTCCTGATCTCAGGAGAAAAGCTATCAATATTTGTCACCATAATTATAATGCTTGCTGTAACATTGTGAGATCTTTATTTTTGTGTTTGGGGGGAATCATTTCATTTTCTTTTGTTTTCTGTAGATGCCACCTCTCTTGTGAGTTGGGGAGTTCAGTATTCACTGCAACCCTCTGGGTCAGGAAATAGGACCGCTGTGGCCATTTTACAGATGAGATCAGTAAGACCCAGGGAGGAATGCACAACATCACCGTGTTAATAGCAGGACTAATTAGCAGTACCTACGTCTGGAAATCCCACCTGGAGCACAGCACCGAGGAGGTCTCTGGGAAGCCTGGCAGGGCAGCCCATTAGGGAAGCCATGCAGATCTCAAACCCTGGGCTGGACCTCTTGGGGACAATTGATCAGATGGGAAGTTGATGACTCAGTTCTCCCAAACACACACGCAGCCACACTCATTGTCCTCAGGATAAGGGATAGGGCTTAAGCCCTTCTCTCTTCCTCTTGACCCAGTGCGGAATCTGTGCGAGGGGAGTCTCAGGTCTCAGCCAGGGACCAGCAAGCAGACTTGGGACAGCTTGGTCATGCATGCCCTTCCTGCAGCAACCCAGTTTGGGGACCTGAAAAATCTGCTTGCTCACTTTTCCAGTTCTCAGCTTCTGGTATCATAAATAGCTGAGGTATCAAAATATAGATACAGCTTAATATGTTCTACTATTATTTAGGATGGCGAGGCAAACAGATCAGGAGACAATGGCCATGGAACAGCTAGTTTGCTAGAGTTCCCAAGAGGAGGGGGCATGCCACACCAGGAGGGCCCAAGGCTCAGTCTGGACAGAGAGGGCAGAGTTGTGGGAAGGAACCTTTGCTGTGATTTCTGCAGGAAATAATGGGTGAGGCAGAGTAAGCAGACTTAGGGTTGGCTAGTTGGAATAACTTTGGCAGGCTCTGAGGCCTAGGGGCTGTTGTCTGGCCCTTGATCCTGGGTGGCTAGGGCAGGTGGCCTGGGGTGTGAGAGGTGGGTCAAGGAAGTGATTGGTGGTGTGGGCTCTGGATGGGTTCGTTTGCATTTGAAAAGCCCATGCACAGGAGAGTCGGTTACTTTCTCTAGGGTTGGCTAACCTAGGAGGGGCAGTCCTTCCAGAGTCTGCAAGAACCCAGATGTCAAAGCATCAAATACAGAAAAGACATAGTTCATACAAGAGGTACCCACTTACCCATGGGTCCTACATCCACTATGGCCCCTTACCTGGGGAAAGTCTTGGCTTTAAAGCAAAATGACCACTCCTAAAGAACAGCTGTGGCAGAGGAGCTAAACACCCTACTGTGAGAGTCCTGGGTCTGTTCATGAATGCTCTGCCTCCTGGTAGAGTTGTGCTTCTCCCACTTGAACTTAGGCATGGCTATGTGACTTGTTTTAGCCAAGGTATCATGCACAGAAGAGGCATGGTCACTTTCAGGTGGGAGCTTTAAGGGTCTGGGTGTACTTAACCCCATTCTCTTTTCTTTTAATGCTAGCAAATTCCAACTCATTCTTTAAGACCAAATTCAAATAACACGTCTTTGGTAAAGACTTCTCCAAGACTCCAGCTCAGTACTCT